AAACCCCAAAACCCCAAAACCCCGCGAGTCAAAATCGGCTTGAATAGCAATCAAATTCAATTAATTTAATTATACCTGTAATTATGTTTCTTACACTTACTACTTTTCATAGACGAAGTTCATATTTATATGGATCACCAACAACTGGGATTTTTCAAAATTTTTATCTAAGCTTCATTTCATCATTAAACAAATTATTAAGGTTTGTTCATAACATTTTTTTCAGTTCTTTTGAAAAGAGAATTACTCTCGCATATTAGCTTGATGATATCTTAGTTGAGCCTCTCTTTTAGTTTTTACTATTTAACTATTTCAGTGCTTAGTCTGTCCTTTTAGTACTATAATAAGTTAGATAGCTTTTAGACTTACTTATATTTCATCTATTGCAGAAAGTAGCTTAGGAATCAATGCTTACTCTTCCTCCATTACTTCTCTTTCCTAATCAATTCTCTTCTTTAATTCTTCATTCAATGCCTTATACTCCTCTATACCTTGTCTCAACTATTAGATTTATTAATTCACTTAGCTAATCTAACCTCTGGAATTTATGCTGTAATCTCAGATATCTCCTTTTCGAAAAAGAAGCAGTCATTATTTTTCCTCTTGATAACCTTGGTAATTTTATTACTTTCCCTGAATAAGTCAGATTCTACTGCGATTGCTGACCGAGCATTTTACTTCGAATGCTTTATGTCAAGCTTCTGCTGCTTGATCAGATTCACAAGTTCATCCTTCTCATTCTTCTTAATTTGGCATAGCTAGTCATATATAACCAGATTCTTAGTCATCTCCTGAAGGCTGCCAGAGTAATTAACTGTATACTTTGGTCTTTAGCCTCCATATGATGCTGACTTTCCTCTTCTTTGTTTTTAGTTATTGAGAGTAGACTCTTGAGATTATTTAATGACGCTTGCAAGTTGACTGTACTGCGACTTTCTCAAAGTTTTTACCTTAGTACTCACTTGAGTTTCCAAATCCTCTATGGTTTTCTTAACAAAAGCCTCGCTCAAAAACTCTTTTTTGGGATTCTATCTAAAATATCAAAAATTATTGCAAAATATTTAGTGATAGGAATTTTAAGAGAAGTAATTTATCTTACACAATGAAAGATTTCTTTGAAGATGAATTTCTCTTAGAGTCATGATGGGTGCTGAGATATTAAGACATGCCATAATTGCTAGTTGGAGAGTAATTCATCAGACTTTTAGTATTTTTATCTATTTATCCCCCCATTGCATATATGTCTCTAGTTGGCGATAAGAGTGACATTTTATAAATAACTGATATAAGTAAATAAAAATTAAATCTTTATTATTATTTCAAAATGAGTTAAATAATCTTCTCTTAAATTAATTGTTAAATTCAATCATGATCATCTATATATATTCTACTATATTCTTATCTTTCAAGCCTCTGTCTTCCATAAAAGCACTCCCACTTCACCCCAGTAGAAGAATATAAAGTTTTTGGCTTGGTGAGTTACATATGACCCGAAACCCCTACCAATTATACAATGCCATGTGGGGTCATACATAGTATCGAATTCAGTTTTAAGAATCTATGCAATATCATCTAGGATGCGCTTTTCCTTGAATGCATAGTTGGCACAGTCTACTGCATGCTATTGCATTTGCTCGGACATATCAGCATTCTTTACCACTGCATATTCAGTGTTCGATTGATCTTTAGCTTGTGTTTAAACGGATGTCATTTTTGTAACTTTATTTTTCTTTATTTATTTTACTCAATTTCAAATAATATAAGTTAATCAACCACTTGGGGTTTTGGGGTTTTGGGGTTTTGGGGGAGATCGGAAGAGCACACGTCT